AAGAAGGCTGACCCCTCTGGCCCTTTGCAGGCGCTAGCGGCAACGTTGACGTCGAGTCCGTGGTCTATGCGCTTCACGAATCAGGGTACGACACTGGCCTCGATCTTGACGCTTTGGCGCAAATTGGCGCCTGGATCTCACAACAGCTCGATAGACCCAATGGTAGCAGCGCAGGTCGCGCTATCCTTGCTCGCGCGAAAGTCAAATCTCAAAGCGCAAAGCAAAGCAAACTGTGAATTCGTTGTGCATTGCGCAGAAGGCTGTGCAATCTCTGTCCCGAACAGGCTATGATCATCGGGGCCCCACGAGCTCTCTTCATCGCAGCGTGTCATTCGATCCAGTTACTGGTCGATGCAGAATGTGCATTAGATTCACGGAGCAGCGAGCGCACATCGAGAGGCGCATCGAACGAGTCCATGTCGTCCAAATATGACGAAGCAGGCGGTACAATAAAAAAAGGACGACAAAGAGGTTAGAGTGAGCAGGGAGGGCGTGCTAAAATGAAGTGGATGCGGTATCAAGAGTAGGCGAACAGAAGGTGCTCGGCACAAGCGAGCGTGATATCGAGTGAACAGCGTTGGAGATGCGATGAGCGCGACACCGCCTTGCCAAGGACAATTCAGGTGCAAAGATGAGGTGACGAGAAAGTGATGAGATGACTACGGGGCGAAAGTCGCGCCTTTTATGCTGCCAGCACGACAGCGACGACGGCGGCAGCTGCGAACAATGTGGCGACGCTGGTACGGACGGCATTGGCAGAGTCGCCAGCCGATCCACCTTGAATCATCTTGAGGTTGGGCTTGTCTCCCTGCTTGTTGACGGCGTAGTTGGCGCTGTACTGTCCTGGCAGACCGCAAGTCTCGCGGAAGTTGCTCTGGCAAGCCTTCTTGCACGCTGTCCTCGCCGCCGTCGTTCCGCCGGGCAATGCGCAAGCATCGCCGCAAGCAGTCGCTCTGTTAAGACAGTCCGCAAATTGGACGGGCCACTTGTACTGGGACAGGTTGGTGGCTCCCTTGTCGCAAGTGCAGCGAGTACCGAGATTCTGCACGTCGCAGAAGTTCTCCTTGATCACCGCACCTTCCTCTGCGCATCCAGCGGTGGCACAGAACTTGGTCTGCTGCGCGCAAATAGCTTCACGGTTGATCACCGTCTCGTTGGCCAGGTTCCAGTTGAGAGTGGGAAGGTCAGTCGTGTCGAGCTGTTGGAAAACGTAAGGATTGGATTGCTGGACCACAAGATTGGCCACCCAAGGTGCAGTAGCCGTAGCAGATGGCAGGGTGAAGTTGGAGGATGCGGTTCGGTTTGCAGCCGAGGTGGCGGCTGCTGATGCAGCCGAGCTCCAGTCAAACGACTTGACCGTCGCTTGTGGCGTGGGGATAGTGCCAGATGCCGAGGAGGTGACAGGTGGTGTGAAAGCAGTGTCGGTGGACAGGATTCGTGGTGTGGTGGCTGGCGCCAGCATCGAGTAGGTAGTCAAGTCTAGAGAAGAAGAAGTGGGAGGAGTGGGCAACGATGGGTAAGCGTAGAGCCGGCAAACGTAAGGTAGGCATACCTTGCGTGGCATTCGACATGGGATGAATCGCAAGCGCGATCTTGCGAGGACGCAACTTCTGACCGCAGATTGTCTCCATCGCACCAACAAGACTCTTGTGCGAAATGCCGCCATGTGCAACGATGCTCGGATGCGTCCACTGGTCATGGATCTCACCAGCACCTCGCCTCCTCATTCCTTTCACGCGCTTTGCAACTTTTGGCCTTGGCCAGACCAATCTAATGGTGAACCCTCCAGAAACTCACTCTGCGCGGAGACTGCGACCGCACCAGCGCCTACAAGGGCCAAAGCGAAAGACAGTTGCATCTTGATGATTATGAAGAGTGGCGAGGGGTGCAGTAGTAGTTGACGCTGTTATGTTCCAGGCTGAGGAATTGCTTAGCGGGGAGCTAGCAAGGTAAAACAGGCGCACGTGCTGGGACGAACAGTTGCAGCGTGAACTGGGCCGGTAGAAGGGAATGGAGACGGTGAGGCTCACGGAAACGGCGAAAGAAAGGGACGGAGAAGGAGTGGGGGGTTGAGAGCGTGTGAAGTCAACGCTGAATGAGCGTCCAGCTGTGCGCAAAAGAGGCAGCGGCGAGAATGTGTGAAATTGATGACGAGTAGGAGGAGCAGCGTGAGACCTCGCA